ACCCTAACTATTCTATGATTCTATGTTGCCCTACTTGAAGCTCTCTGTGATAGCTGCCAAATGGTGTCCTCTTCAGTACATGGTTCTAGTGACCAAGAAGTTGGGTGACAGTGTAGAACAGTCACACCAATAGCTCACAAGTCTCAAACCAGAGCTGGGCTCAAGGTGAGAGGAAACCATCAGCACTTGACAAGGCTTAAACTTATTTCTGAGTTAGTGCAAAGAGACAGCTTTCATCATGCAACTGGGACCACTGGGGGGCAAAAGTGGTGATCCCAGGCAGGAAGGGAAGAGCTGAGCCCTCAGGGGAGTACCCACTGTTACCACCCATGCCTGTTCTTCCTCTACAGCCCTGGTAGTGCCTGATCGCATGAATTCCCACATCACATCCAGCAGGAGCCAGACAGGGCTGGGAAGCCTTGGATAAGGCAGCCCCAAGAGCCCTCGGCACGCAACCACATGGGAAAGGAAGCTGGAAAGCAGTGTATGTATTCCCGATGGTCCTGAAAGAAATGAGGGAGGCTATCCATGAATTGTACCACCTCAGCTCCCTTCACAGAAACCCACACACCAGAAACACGTTTTCAGTTTTTATTGTTTTATCCCGGTCAGCAAACACTATTTCACTGGGACAGCACAGCCCCCCCTTCAGCTCTGCATGCTGTGTCAAGTGCCCCACTGAAGGGATTCCCTCCTCAGGGAGACACTGGTCTATAAAATCCCCTTAGGCTACTCAAACAGCCCTTTAAGCCTTTACAGCTGAGCTCCTGCACACCTTTTTGTGGGGCTCTCTTTTTCCGTCACACACAGCTGCACCTCACCCACCCCTTTTCCCAGGCCCCAAACATTACTATCTATTGGATGTACTTAATCCCGCCCAAGCCCCCTTTTCTACCCTGTGACCAAGCAAAGCCAGCACCAAGTCTGTGCAGTGTCTCCTTCCAGCCACCCTCTTCCCTACTCAGCTCTGAAGGCATTGCTGAGCCAGGGCTTCCCTTACTCTCCAAATGTTCCCAGGCCCATTCACTTGGGTTGATGGGGGTTGTGTTGAGATTTCTTTTGCTTCCATGAGAATTTTTCCCCTTTCCCCACAGACATCTTACCTTAAATTCAAATCTGGGCTTCTAAGGGACACAGCACTGAACCCTGCAGTCAGAGACAGCACCAAGGCTCAGGGAGAGGGCAGTGCAGAGTGCCTTGGAACTCTCCACCATTCCTCCAGCAATGGGGAACAGAGGATAAAGCTCAAAATAGTTTTCCTAGCACAGCCTCAATACTCTAAGCAGCTTTCAAAGATGGTGCCTTAGGAGAATTGGCTCCACCTCACCAAAACTAATTCTTCAGGGTGAAATTTGCCTGTCCTTGGAGATCACCCACACCAGCACAAGAATGCCTCGGCAGAGCTATTTCCCAACACTAAAGCCTGGAAATCAAAGGCAGGCAGTGGTTGAGGACCAAAGCTTTGTACCACAGCTACATCTGGGATGATTTCTTTTGCCCGTTTCCCATGTGGGACAGATCTATACCCCCGTTCCCATCCTACCTACCCTGCCACTCTGCTGCTTGCCAGAGGCACGGGAGACTGAGCAGTCTCAAACTCTTTGTTCTCTCTCATGTCCTTCCAGGGGAACACCTGTCTTGTAACCACTGTCAGTGTTGGAATCTTGGCACTGATGAACCAGACAGGCAGAACCTCTGCCATAAAGCACTTACCACAGAAATTAGTTCTTTGGGACTAAATAACAGAATCATAGAATGTTTTGGGTTGGAAAGGACCTTAAGATCATATAGTTCCAACCCCTCTGCCATGGGCAGGGACACCTTTCACTAAACCATGTCACCCAAGACTCCACCATCAACCCAAGGAGTGCCAGAATCTGAACTGAACCAGGGTGAGCTGGCTGGATAGAAAGGTTTTTGAAGCACACAGCTGGGATGGCAGTGGAGCAGATATTCCAGCTACAGACCAGGGCTGCTTGAGCTTTGCAAACTACTCACTTCACCCATCCTCAACAAACCTGCCTTCCTTATTGCCTTAGATGCACTTTCTGGGTCTGTGCCACAACACGTTATCTGTGCCAATCCACATGGCATTAGAAGGAGGCACAGCAAGTGTCAGAGACTCTGGGGAGGATGGGATAGTTAAGGAAAAGGATAGTTAATTAGATTGCTGTGCATAACTGACAGTTTTCTACCACCACACAGCCCTGAATAAGGGCTGCAGGAGGCTTAAGGCAGATAAAACTTCTGGGCTCAGCGCCTCTCCTCTTAACTTAACCTTCTGGTATGAGCAACCATGATCCTGGGAATGCAGACAACAGTCGGGCCCAAAGAGCTGCTGGGTTGTTGTTTCCTGTTGTCCCTCCTCCTCCCAGGCATGTTCTCTGGTGGCTGAGACCTTCTTCCACACATCCACCGGCTGCTCTGGCCCTCCCAGCAGAGCTGCAGTGCTGCCAGCATGGCTGACACGTTCACTCTCCCAGGCACACTCAGCTTCTGGGTGGAACAGTCACCCAACGTCAGTATTCCTACGGCCACAAAAAGAGGACAGGCACCATTTCAGTGGGATGGAGACAAGGGGAGTATGGCTTTTCCAAAGGGAAAACCAGCCAGAGGCCACATGAGGACCAGTTAGAGTACAGCCTCAGTGTGCGGGCTTTGAGTGAGCACTGGGCACAAGCAGCAGATGGCTATTACTTGCTGCGAGGAACGATGCCACAGCCCTCTGTCTGTCATTAGCTCCCACTCACCCTCCTGCTTTGTTATGGATTGAGCCAGCTCTGCCCACTCTGCCCTGGGGCTTGGAGCCTTTGGAGGTTTTGAGTCACAGTCTGCAGAGCTTTTCCTGAGGAAAAAACAAAAGGGGAAAAAAAAATAAAATAAAAAAAAAAAATAAACCCCATCAGTGTTAGCAGTAGGCCAGCAAGCAGTAAAGAGCAGGCTGCAGTCTGCATTCAGCTACTGTTGTCCTGCCGCCAGGCTCCCTCCTCCCTTGCAGCTTCCACTGTCTCAAAACCAGGAGTGTCTTTACTCTCCAACTGCCTGTTGCTAGGACAAGTTCCTGTCATCAGGAGAAGATGACACAGGTTTTGGGAAACACTTCACAAGCAGCTCTGACCACTGAGCAGGAGAGATGCAGGGGCCACACATCCCCTCGTTCTCAGCAGAGGATGAGGCAGAGCTCAAGATCTGCAGTGAGATAAAGTGCAAGAAAAATGCCAGCACCAACTTTAGAGCCTGGAGACTTCCCTGAATGAGAGGGGATTATTAGGTGCCCCCAAATTACCACTGCCAAATCACGAGAAACTTCATGTGCTTCAGAGTCCTATGTGACCTTACCCATTTCTCCCACACACTCCTCTAGGACAGCTGACAGCTCAGGCAAGCTCAGAGACTTCAGGGAAGGTGGCCATCCTTCCAGCACTGGAAGAAGGAAGAAACACACATTAATCAATCTGCATGCTGTGACAGAGCAGAAACAAGGGTTTGGTGCTGCTGTAAAACATCCACACCCAAAGTAGTTCCAGTAAGGGGTTCCGAGTCACAGGAGAGGAGAGCTGGAACTGCCTGTGACAAACTGAGGGGAGTTCCTGGCAATTCTACCACTTAGGATTTTTTTTTTTTATACTGTCTGGATCATATATTAAGAGACTCTCAAAGAGATTAATTGTAGTGGACAGAAACGAAGAGAACCTCTACTTGACTCACTTTTAAAACAAAAGCAGCCAAGAGCACGTCTCTAGAAGCATGTCACAGGCAGCAGGATCATTTGCCAACTCCTCATGATGAGGAGCTGGTTGGCTGAGCCATGTGCAGCACAGACCCCAGACCAGGTCAGGGAACCAGCCAAGGCTCCAGACTCAGACCTTGCTCTAGTGCATAGTGCAGCGATACACCCAAAGTGCCCACACGCTGCCAAGCAGGAAGGGGAAGCCACAGGCCCCTGGAGCAGGGCTGCCGCTGGGTGCCTGCACTACAGTTTTGCACTTTTAGCCACAAACACCTGCCAGAGACTCAAATTTCTCACTTGCTAAGAATCAAAAGTTGCTGAGAAACTGTGTTGCAGTTACAGTCCAAATGCCCTGAGTGCTTTAAGTGCTTTCACCGAGCAAGGATTTTTACATCCAATTTAAGGGTTTGGCTGCTCAGCTGTTTCCAAAATCACTTCTAACTTCATCCTTTTAGCACGTGGCTTGCTCTGGGGTCTCCTGCTGCCCACCCTCCCCCTGCACCCAGTCCTGAAGCTGATAAGGTCTTCCTCACCCGGGCGCTCACCAGGCCTCCTGCTCTCACTGGTCCCCAGCTGCACCTCTGTATCCAGCACTTTGCCCACTGCCTGCTCCTGGGTTAGCCGGGAGGACAGCTCTGCTTGACAGCATCTGCCGAACAAGACAAAACACATCACAAGTGCACAAGGACACTTCCTGGAACAACATGCCAGTCTGTGCACTCCTACATCCTGCAAGTACCTGCTTGGGGTGCCGAGAGACCACATCTAACGCCCTGGGTTACAAACTGCTCCTTGTTCCTTCCCAGGAAGAGGAAGACGTGCCCCAGACAAAGCTCAGGGCGCTCTCCACTGCGCCCCATCTCCACAGCAATCTCTGCCCCTGTCCACAGAGGAGCTGCGGGGGGAGAAGAGAAGGAAGGGGCGGGGTGAGCAGGAGAAAGCCCAGGCCAGGGGTGGCACCTGGTTTATATGAGAATCAAGCCTGATCCAAGTTTCCTAATGGGCAAATGAAGCTACCTCAGGACAGGCATCAGGTTAAAGCAAGAGAAGCACACAAAGTTCTCCTGCTATCATCATCATACCATTAATTCAAACAGTGTATCTCTAGAGCATGGCAGGGCCCTTGTACCAGGCAGCCTCAGCTCCTCAGCTAGGGGGAAAAGTCAAGTGCTCTGCCCCTTACAGCCTGGAATATTGTGCTGCTGTCCTTCTGGAAGCCAATCCCAGTTCACCCTGGTTTGGTAGTGAGTAGACCTCATTCCCTGTTGTGCTAAGGTTTACTAGATGTAGGATTAATGCCACCTTCAAGGACACATCTATCAATGGACAGAGCAAGGCCATGACAGGAGTCCAACTGGGATAGGGAGAAAAGCACCACAAAGGCAACAAAAGGTATATTAGGAGGTGGGGGAAGACAGAACTCAAATGCAGTGGTGTGACTGAGCAGGACAGGTTCTTCTGCTAGCTGTCAAGAGTTGCAAGAAAAGTGTTCTTCACTAGCCAGGGTAAGCCATTGCAAGTCTTCTCATTTGAGCACAAACAAAGCACTTGGACTTTTGGTTTGTTTGGTTGAAACACGAGCACCCAGCATCCTTGGAAAGTCAGGCCATTTATAGCTCATGCACCTAACTGAGGCTTCACATCTGCTCATGTGCTTGTGGCTTTCCACTAGAGCAAGTCAGGCAGGATCCAGAATGGGTTCAGACACCTGGTAAGCTCTCCTGCCTTACCCTGAGCATCACCTGTATGACTGCCACCATGACGGCCTAAATCCCATTTCTCAGTAGCCTCAGTGCCACTTCCTGGGAATAACTTACTTGATCTGATCCAGCAGGACTCCAGCATCCTTGGTGATGGCCTGAGCCTCTCTGAGTTGGCACTGGATGGCATTCCAGGTCTCATCCCGCTCCATCAAACAGCTCTCAGCTACTGCACGCAGCTTCTGCTCCTGGCACACCTGGCCCTTCATCACCTCCACCTCTTCACACCTCTGCAGCAGAGCAGAGCAGGGTTAGGCTGGGAGTACAGTACATCACTCTGGGATGTGCCTGCTCTGACACAGCCCTGGAGTCCCTGCTTAGGCAGCCAAAGGAGTCCTGCAAGTGTGCCCAACCCAGTGAGAAAAGAATAGAATCACAGAACAGTTTGGGTTGGAAGGGACCTTCAAACCTCATCCAGTCCACCCACACCTGCAATGAGCAGGGACATCTTCAACTTGATGAGGTTGCCCAGAACCACATCCAGCCTGGCCTTGAACATCTCCAGGGATGAGGCATCCACTACCAATCTGGGCAACTTGTGCCAGGATTTTAACACCCTCATTTAAAAAATTTCTTCCTCACATCCAGCCTGAATCTCCCTCTTTTAGTTTAAAACCTTCACCCCTCATCCTGTCACAACAGGCCCTGCTAAAAAGTCTCTCCCCATCTTTCTTACATGCCCCTTTTAAGTACTCAAAGGCTGCAATAAGGTCTCCCCAGAGTCTTCTCTTCTCCAGGCTGAACCACCCCCCAACTCTCTCAGCTCTTCAAGGAAGCCGGATAAGGCTTGTACACTGAACACAGTTTCCCCTCACACCAAGACCAGCCTCACAGTTGTAATTCCCCCTTCCTCTCCATTACCAAAGATACTCAGTAGGCCTTATTTCCCAAGTCAACAGAAGTCCATTCACTAATAGCTGCACAACTTCACCATAAAAATGGCACTACAGAAGAAGAGTAGGTATTCAATTCCTCCCACCTGCCCTTTTAGTTCTCAGGTAGATGGGAAATGGAGACTAAAGGCTTCACAAGCATAGAACCCAGAGGATGAGGAGTGGATACACACTTACGGTGTTACCTGATCTACTTGACACCAACTGTGGCCACTGAAAGTTATGCCTTTTCCTTTCCCCCAGGCCATTAGAGGCACAACAGAAAGATATGCTTCCAATCACTTACTGCAGTGTGGTAAGGACTGAGCAGCTCATAGCAGACTTCTTACCTTGTGCAGCTGAATGGCCAGTTCCTGCATCTCTGCCTCCAGCCGGTCCGCATAGGCCAGCTCCAGGGCATCACTGGGCGGACGAGCATTGCTGTGCCACCGCGCAATGGCAGAAGTCATCTTCCTCTTTGGGCCAAACAGACTGGGGGCAGAATGGCAAACTGTCAGGGACCAGACACTGAGCCATCAGTTCCCAGGGCCATGGATGCCATGAAGACCTCTGCAGTCTCCTGGCTCCCCCCAAAACCAGAAGCCAAGAACTAGGGGATATCAAAATTGCATGGGAGACAGCCAGAAGAGAAAAATCACTCACTAGCTAAACCTTCCTGACCAGGTTGTGCGCATGGTTTGTAAGGGGTAAGATGAGAACTACATTACAGACACTCACGTGATGCCTATTTCCTTCAGGTCACTCTCTGTGAGGGTCAGGAAGATCCGGAGGTCAACATCTTGCTCCTCAAACACTTGCAGATACTTCAGGCACCCGATCTGTTCAAGGAATGTTGCCAGGTCCTGCAGCACATCCGAACAAACTTAATTATACCCTCACCAATAAAAGCATTACCATTCCTTTTAATCACAAACATCTGCTTCCTCATATTGCTGCTATGACTTTCTAGCAGCAACCGTGACTTCCCATGGTTAACTGCCCTTCTCCATGGTCACACAACACAACAGGACCAACCTGTTTGCTGCGACCCTTGCCTCTTGTAACAAATGCAGAGAAGAAAGGCATTAACATCTACCTTAGCCCACGTCAGCTATGATTGGCAGAACACCCACAAGCATTAAAGGTCTGAAATACCCCACCAAGCAACAGCAACACCTAAGCAAATACTTCTTGCACAAGAAATTGCTGTTTAACAAGCATTTAAGTTTGGTCAGAGGCTTGAAGTCAAAGGTGTTTTGGAGACAACTTCCCTTTTATCTGAGAAACCAGCTTAGGCAACCCTGGAAAAACCTCCCGTGCTTGATACAGTGACATTGCATTATTTCAGACAGCTCTCTCTGTGCAGTTACCTGGGGCCCTGTATAGGCAGGGGGCTCAGGCAGGAGTAGGTGCTGACTAGAGGCCCCAACTTTCCCTGGGCAGTGGGTCCACTGGCCATCACTGTTGCTGTAGCGGTTCTTGATCTTAAAGCTCTTGGCTTGTTTCCGACTAGGGGGACTGTTCGCATGGTCAGAGTCCTGAAAAAGAACGAAAAAACCCACAAAATGTAAAGGTCAAGGATGATAATGCAAAGATGTCAGGATCACTACAGCTAATAAATGCAGACTCCTTCAGGTCCCAAGCTCTAAATCCAGACAGCCATCCACAAACACAAGCAAAGACTAACAAAGCCCTCATTAGGAAGGCCTGAGTCAAGTTACTCCCAAGATGGCAGCTAGGCACCATAGGATGTTATCAGGCTCCTGCAATCCCACCTTAGGAAGCAACATGCCAGAGCAAGCCAAAACAGAGAGCAATGCTGAGTCCTCCCTGAACCAATACAATGCAGTAAGATTCTACCCGTGAGAAGCTCCTCAAGATACAGGAGACTTCTGTTGACGTTCAGGTCTATCACCCTTCTGTATATTAGCACCACAGCTATTGTCTTGAACCATGCAAGCTGTGACTTGAACCAGAGAGTAATCTCCAGTTTCTTCCCTTTCCTTCTGTACTTCAGAAATGCCAACACAGGACTGCTGCACTTCTCTAAATCTTACTATACTACCTACTGTCTCACCAAGCTCAAGGACTGACCCAGGTGTAGCCACTTTCTTTCTTGACCACCACCTAGCCAGAAGTCTGCAAAGAGTTAAGTTCTCTTCAGAAGCTGGAGAGGACTTAATTACTGACTAGCCATCAACAACCTACTCTAGAGTGAATGTATTCCAAGAGTTGTCTACTAGCTAGAGATCAAACAAGCCAAGCCATAATCTTCACATACAGAAGCTGGTTCTCTTATCCCTGTAATACCACTCTTCCTCACCCAGCCTGGTACTACAGCCTCCTGTGGAGGTAGAATTATAGCAGGCTGTGGAAGGGTGGCAGCACTGGCCAGTCTGAAGGCAGAAACAGGAAAACTGAAAACCCCACCTCATTACTTTCCAAGGAACCTTCACTGCTGACTCCCAGGGCTTTGGTTAGGCATTCACTGCTGCTGCTGCTGCTCCTGATGGTTGCCAAGTTGTTGGTGAGGAAAACAGTATCCTCTGGAAAGGAACAGAGAAAAAAATGAAACAAATTTCAGGTTCAACTTCCTTATGCTCAGGGCTGGTTTTGATATGCAATTATCAGCAAAACCTGGTGGAGGTGTAAAGGAAGAAGCAGCACCAAACAAGGCTTTGTATCCAATACTCATGATACAAGACAAATCCAAGACAGAAATATCCCATGTCTGATCCCAGTCTCCAAGTTTATTTAGTACCATAGAGAACAGGAAGGCTGAGTGCATGTATGTGTTTGTGAGGCTCTTGGCTATGGGGTGGCATTCTGATTTCAGCTGGGATGGAGTTGTCTTCCTAGTAGCTGGTACAGTGTTGTGTTTTGGATTTAGGATGAGAATGTTCATAACACACTGATTGTTTAATTGCTGCTGAGCAGGGCTTACACTAAGTAAAGGACTTTCCAGCTTCTCACGCTGCACCAGTGAGGGGGCTGGGGGAGTATGAGGAGCTGGGAGGGGACACAGCCAGGATGGCTGACCTCGACTGCCCAAGGGACATCCCGTGCCTATGGTGTTGTGCTGAGCACTAAAACCAGGGGAGCTGGCTGGTGGGTGGCAGCCTCCTGGGCATCCGTCAACGGGTTGTGAACAATTGCACTGTGCATCACTTATTTTGTATATTCTTTTACCATTATTACCTTTTTTCTTCCTTTTCTGTCCTAATAAACTGTTTTTATCTCAACCTACAAGTTTTACCTTTTTCCCCAATTCTCTCCCCCATCCCACCAGAGGGAAGTGAGTGAACAGCTCTGTAGGGTTTAGCTGCCCAAAGGGTCAAACCACAACAGGGGGAAAAGTGGGTTACTACTACCCAGCCTGCGCTCCCATTAGTAAAGGTCAGGAAAGGCCTTTCCTTGAGCCCAGAGCCACTACACATCCACATTATCCTCTACTAACTCAGGAACTGTCCATATCCCTCCTTCGTGGTGCTTCAGAGAATGGTGAGGTTGGAAGGCACCTCTGGAGGTCATTTTGTCCAAACCCCTGCTCAAGCAGGGCCACGACAGCAGGCTGCCCAGAACCATGTCAGGAGCATCTCCAAAGGTGGAGACTTTTGTCAGAGAGACCACCTCTCTGACATCCTGCTGCAGCGTGCAGTAACCCCCACAGTAAAAACAAACATTTCCTTATGTTCAGATGGAGGCTCGTCTTTCGGTTTGTGCCTATTGCCTCTTGTCCTATCAGTGGACACCACTGAAAACAGCCTTGCTCCATCTCCTTTACACCCTTTCTTCAGATTACTTGTACAGACTGATGAGATCCTCACTGAGCTCTCTCTTCTGTAGGCTAAATCATTGCAGCTGTCTAAACCTTTCCTCAGGAGAGATACTGCAATCCTCAATATCTTAGTGGGAATGGAACCCAAGGGCTTGGTCTCACATCCATCTGCAAGCCAGACTATTTTCAGGCAGTGACTTACCCCTGCTGCTGCTGCTTTCCACATCTTGCTCATTAATTGGAGAGGTAACATCCCTGTTGCGGATATTCTCTGCTTCACAGCTGCCGTCATCGTTGAAGGTGACATAGCCCTGAGGAGGGACCTGCTCTGTGTGCAAGAGGAAGGAAGAACAAAGATTAGGATGCAAGTTATCAGGGATGCTCCTGCAGGGAAAACAACCCCTCAAGGATTTGAAACTAATCAAAAGAAGATACTGTCTTCTCAACTGGCAGGTGTCATTCTAAAAAGCACAGAGAAAAACTGAGAAATGCATATGCCTCCAGCCTCCCTCCCACAGACACACATCTGCTGTACTGGATTTAGACGGTTGCATTGAAAAAAAGTCAGAGGAAACAGCCTTATAGCAGAGATGCACCTTAAGCAGCAGCTTTCAGCATTTCCTCTCTTCTTCATACCAAATTGTCAAAGGGGAAAACATCTGCTTAAAAGAGCAAGCTGCCAGCTACACCACATCCCCAGCCAAGCACGCTCAGTGAAACTAACCCCTCTGCATCTGCATTAGAACACTAGTAGCATCCCACTCATTTAAGAGGCTGACAGTATCATTTCAATACAGCCACTGCCCATGGGATGATATGTATCTATATTGAGAATGAACTGAATTTTGAACATGCTTTTAAGTCTACATTCTTAGTTATTCTAGACAACTAGGTAATCTGCCTGAGAAATACCTACAGCTATGACACATGCACAAAGAAACTCATACCACTGTATCCAGGGACTGATGTCTGAACTGGGATCATATTTCTCTTGGCCTATTGCAAAGGGTTTGTAATCTCATTTTTAGTAACACTTCAAGCATCAGGGAAGACAAAACTGACAGATCAAGGAGCAGCAAGTTCGCTTTCATTATCAATGATCTCTTGGCCCGTGTGACCACTTCTCTGTCATCAGCTTCAGAAGGGTTCTCAAACTCTCAACCCTACCTCAGAAAGGGAAGCTGGATTGTTTTCAAGAGTCAGGGGAACAGTAATTGAGGTAAAAGCAGTGTTTGTTCCATAGACGTGTTCCACTCATCAATAATCAGCCCTGACGTAAAAGGGTTCAAGGGGTTTTCTTTTGAAACCACAGATTAAACAGCCCTTAAGATGGTGTTTGCTATCTTTGTTTCCGTATAAACCACACATGAATCCCAAATAAAGAGAGAAAATGGTTGGCACAGAAGTAGCTGCAATGCATGTGAGACTTCAAAGGACTCTCACTTCAGCTTCTAACTATCCTTACCATAGCGAGACTGCTTCTTTCCCCCAATTCCTACTGCTGTTATCTTAGCCAAAGCCTGGGGCCCATCATGGATGCTGGGACCTTTGGTCCGACGAACAGGTCTCTGTCTCTGTGGAGCAGAGCAAGATTCATCCGAGGAACTCAGCTCTTCATATTTTCCTGTAGTTCAAACACAAACTGTTAGCAGCACAGTAACAACTTACCTAGTTTATTTGCTACTGATCCTATAATGCAGTGGAAATACAGGAAGTTTTAAGAGGAAGGGTAAATCAAAAGGGTAAAACAGGAAAAGGCTAGCAGACAAAAATATCTGTTGGATCTGTGCCTCTTCCCCAGAAATGCTGGAATTTTCAGGACAGACCAGCTATTGCTACATACAGCAGCATACTTTCAAAATAACCAAACACTTCTTTTCAGGGTCTGTCTTACAATGAGCAAGCTAAAGCACCTCTCTGTTACCTGGACCCCTGCAGAAGACCTTGGGCACTGGGGCTGCATGCAAATCTATCAGCCCCACAATCTTTGTATGTCCATACTTCATGGCCAGTGTCCGTGCTGTGGCTCCAGTGTTATCTCTGACATCTGTCTTCACTCCCTATACAAAAAAAAAATAAAAAAAATACATGTTTAATACATAGAGGGCACTATATACAAAAGAAACAAGAAGCTAAGGGATTGTCTTAGTTCCTCCATCAGAAATACAGGCTCATCTTTGACAGACAATTCACACTTCACTAACGCCTTGCAGCCTTTCTAGTTACCAGTAGCCCAGGTATGCGGCTTTAAATCATGACAATGGCTCTTGTGCATTGCTGCAGGGAACTAGTTTGTTTTATCTGAAAAATGTTTTGCCTTGCTGCCTCCTTCTGGAAGTAAGCTGGATCACTTCAATGAAAATCAAAACCAAGTTGTTTAACAATGAGACACACATGCTCATAAGCTTTTTGAGGCAGAAGATTCCCACTAGCCTGAGCATGCAAGCCTACAAACACCATGAGGAGAAAGCCACTTCAGCTGTTTTCCAAATCAGTTGTTATTCAGTTGAATCTGGACAGTCAGACCTCACTTCTACTCACACGAGGTCAGCGTAAGATCAGAATACTAGTCTTGAGAAAGCAAATACTTTGAGAACAGTCCAGGAAGTCTGGGACTTCAGAGGTGACTGATCAAGGATCAAACATAACACCAAGAAGTCTGGTGTCAAACTTCTGGTTCTTCCTCTGAGGGCTGGAATCACAGACTTTCAGCTTGACAGAGATCAGTCTGGAGACTTACATGATTTAGAAGGTACTGAACAATTATCTCATGGCCAGAAGCAGCTGCTTCCATCAGAGGTGTATATCCGTACACTGGCTCCCTAGAGAGAGAACAAGCATGTACACGTGAACTAGGACAATCAAAGCTAAAATACACTGCAGTCCTTGACATATCCTAATAGCACACCTCCAGCCTCTACCCTCAGCTGATCACAAACGCTACCTTGTATTATTGCCTGCTCATCTGCACTCTGGTCTATCTCAGTAAAACTCCCAGGGGAGATTCACTGCATGTTACTCTATCAGCTGCAGAACAACAGATTACTCTTCCAGTTGCAGATCTGCCTTTCAGTGACAAAATCAGTTTGCAAGAGCTAAAAAAGCAAGAGCCTCCTGCTGACCTCAGGCAATCCAATATGCATTAATGTACAGGCAGCTCCCAAGGCATGGGAATGCACTGCACGCTTCAGAAAAAACAAACTGAGCTCCAAGTACACAGAAAATTCAATAGAAAGACTTGTAAAGTGCACTTGAGTTCAGAAGGCACTGCACCTGCTTGCTTTCAGTTTAGCCTCTAATTAAACAAGCAGTAAATCTAATTTCTCTTTATCTTAGTTAAATAAACAGTGACAGCATGGGCAGACTTCACTGTTTGTTTGCAGGTCACCTATCCCTGTACACCATGCTTCCTGAGGTATAGGAGGAAAGACAAAAATAGGTATCTTCTCCTTGCCCATGCCAGGCTGTGTTCATATGCCAACTGCTGCTGCCATACCTGACATCTGTTGAGAAATGAAATGACAGATTCTTCCTTACTTGCAGTTGGCGTTTGCCCCATTGTCCAGTAAGAACTTGACCATCTGCTGATGTCCAGCACTGGTGCAGTGAAATAAAGCAGTCCAGCCATGGATATCCTTCATCTCCAGCTCTGCACCTTGCTTCAAGACAACAGAGAATGTTCTTTATTGCACCCCCTCTACTGGGTCTTTTAGCCACTGCCCCTCTGTGCTTGGGCACCAAGTGTTTAAATCCCTATCAGGAAGCTGAACTTGCAACAAAACACAAATTGCACATTTCAGTTGCAACTGGTGGAGAATCCTACCCTGTGCATTTGAATTGTTTACTGTGGCTTTAGCTATTTATTATAGGATACACACCTGTAGGAGAAAGTAAGCAACACTTTCATTTCCACAGCTGGAGGCAAGCATAAGCGGTGTCTGCCCTTCTGGTGTTGGGATGTTCACATTCACTCCTGCTTCCAGCAGCAGGTGCACAATGTTGTCATGGCCAATATAGGAGGCATACATCAGTGGAGTCCAACCACCACAATTCCTCTTATTTAGGTCCAGATCTCCACTAAATAACGGGGGGGGGGAAGAAAAAAAAAAAAAAAACCAGCTGAACTACTATCCTGAAGCTGTAGATCACAGTAGGCTTCTGCAGCCTCTTGCTACCACCACTGTATTGAAAGGTGACTGGAAAAAATCAGCCCTATCAGCTGCAGCACAACCTCCACCAAATCACTAAAGAGGTAATATTTAATCAGTAGATTTGGCCCTTGCAACTTTGTGCCTAAGGGCCCTTTGGGAGCTCCAGTGATATGCCCCTGTTGCAATGTTAGACCAACCTGCATGCAGCCAGTGGCAGCAAGTAACCACAGACCTGTGCGCCCCCAGCCCCTCTTTACCGCTGAATACACTCCTGCACCACTTCACACTGGCCGACAGAGGAGGCTGTGTGCAAGTCCAGAGGGACATCCAGCTCTTCCCAACAGATCATCTGGCCAACCCCGTGCCACATGGAAAGACTGCGGCTCAGCAGCTCCGACTCACTGGCTTCATCACTCAGCTCCGACATCCTGCCCTACGTAACCAAAGCAAAGAAGAACTTTGAGCTGCTGATCTCCATTTTCTACAGTACATGGCACTGCCCATTAGCACTGCAGCTCCAAGGTGCCATGGCCTTGGAAGGTGAGGTCATCTCAGAGGTAGGGCATTGTTTCACATTCCTACCTCTGCTTCAAGCTCCTCCGTAACTTGAAGCTGCAAGACTTGCTGAGGAGTTTTTGGTGGCAGTTCTTTCTTGCTGCAGCAGACTCTGGGATTTGAATACACTGGAAAAATAAAAGCCAATAATGGTAAAACCCCATCTTTCAAATCTCACTTTATGCCTTCAGAAACACTGGTTTTATTTCTTCTCTTTCTAATCAAGATGTGCCTAAGGCGCTTTGGATACCCTTAAAAAAAAAAAACAAACAAGAGAAAACTGACCACACACCTATTTAAGTGCTGATGGCATGCTTAGTGTTACACAGAAGGATGGAATTCTTGGTTTTATAATTGAGAGAGAGAATGAATTCATGTATCAGACATTCTTGGTCTTTTTCCATCTGTCTTATATTACAGAATGACCCTGCTTAAATTAAGACATGGTCATTAATAATGACAACTGTCCACTGCTCTCAGGAGTAGTTAGTATCACCTGAATAGGGTGCACACTTCATGATGTCCTCAGGTGCCAAGTAGATTGTTGGTACCAGTTCTTGTTTCAGCACTTCAGAAGCAGCCCAGTCCCGTCTCTGTGGATCTTGGCATTTGCTGGAACACTTTGAGCAGCAGTCACCTGCCCACTCATTACCTGATCATGTCCACTGCCCCGCAGGCAGTAACTTCATTACAAAGCTAGTGGAGTTCCATGACTGTCTGAAAGGTTTATTTCCCATCCCCAGCCTTAGGGAGCAATTGCATATTAATCATTTTAACCACTCACAGGAGAGTGTTCTTATTTGGCTCTTCATAAAGTGCTGTTGGACAGAGCTGCATCTATCATGTGAGGTCTTCAGCATGGTCTTTCTCCATCTGTCTTATATTACAGGATGGCTTCAGTCACAGCTTCAGACTACATCCAAGTCAACCCACTGGGAAGCATTTTCCCCTCCCTGTGGTCTCATCACCCACCACACAGCACTTCTGGTGTTTGCCTGGTCCCATGGCATTATGCTGGGCGTCTAAGCCAACAGAAAGCATTCATTCTTTTTCCTGATAAACTTCTTGCCGGTTTAATTCCCGATTCATTCTGGGGTCATGCAAATGCCAAATTTGGCATTGGTGAAGAATAAAAGAGAGTAGGAACACACTTTTCAGTAGCAGTTACTCTTCAGATTGCCCCAGCTGTAACATTTCAAAACAGTACTTACATTTTGTAAGCACTTGGGAGTCTCTCTTGCAAGCAGCAGCCTCTTATATAAGAAAAATGCCTTTAATTCTTACCTCTTTACTCCCCACCTGGATCTTTTCTCCCATGCCTTGCTTTTTTTCCCTCCACTCCTTCAGTTTGTTAAGGCTACAAAAGAATCATCCATTCTAGCTAATCAGCATGTGCTGGTAATGGTTCCTTTCTTAACATATCTGCAAAAGCACCTATTTTTACCTAATAGCAGCAATTTGTATTACACTGGCAACCCAGAGCCTCAGGCAAGAATATGCAGGGCAGAACCCAAATGAAAGACCTGAACACCCCACAATCAAAATACATCTGCAAGTGGATTTCAGTGGAACATAAGGGGGGAAGTAGGAGTGTTTCTCACTACAACAGATTAAAGCTGCTACTGGTAGGCAAAAAGGCATGCTGACAGTTAAAGGAAGTTAAATCCAGAACAGTTTGTAGAAGTGCATTCAGATGAAAGTGAAGCTCACACTTCGCTCTGCAGATCTCCTGTTAATCAGATACATGAAGCCCACAGGTGTTTGGGCTCTGTTGGAATCAGCCCCACAGCAGGTACTAGTTAGCAACACAACTTTGGCAAGTTGATCCACAGTCAAAAGAGCAACACTGACACGCAGAAAGGTTATGCTTAACTCCAGAATACCCAAGACTCTCAGCCTCATCCCTATCACCTGTGCTGTGCTCTAACTGCTGATGTCTTTGTCTTCACTCTGGGATTTCACCCCAGCTTGAACTGAAGCATGATGTCAGCTGCGTAAGCACCTGATAAAACACAGAGGACAGCTGAGCAGAATCTACGGGAGAACAAGAAAAGTAGTCAGAGTCCTAAGGGCAGAAATGAAAAGCCTGGGTGAAATGAAATGAGGGTTGCCTGGTCTAAAGAGGTGCCTGGAGGGGACATGCAGTAACAGCCTTCAAATACATAAACGGCTGCTGCAGAGAGGATGACATAAATATTCTGTTCCTTGTGGCCATGGTGAATATGACAGGACATAACAGGCTTAAGTCGTAGCATGGAAGATTTCTGATTAAAGACCACCAAAATCCTCATACAAGTAAGAAGAGTTAGTACTGTGATGGATTACTAGCAGAGATTTGGCTGCTAAGAGTAACCTAGACAAAAGCCTCCTGAACACTGACAGGCTGTTCTCTTGCTTTGGGGTAGAGGAGTTAACGTCTGTTAGAGATCTTCCTCAGCCTCAAGGGGCTGTTGTTATCATATTTACTACATCAACATGTAGCTATTTATCAGGATCAGAACTCTACAGTGCTGACCCTCAGAGCAGGCAGCAAACACCACACTGTCCCACATTGAGTTTGCTGTCTGGGCAGATGACAAAGCCAGAAAAAGAGAAATTAGTATGAAAACTGCAGCAAAAAGCACCTTAGAATACCTTTTTGGAGGGTAAGCCTATGGAACAAGTGACAGTGAATAAAAGAGTGGCAGAAGAACCATACTAAAATAAACGGGAGGTGATTTCAGAAGCAACTGAGGCAACTAGTCCCCAGCACAGGACAATTCTAACACTGATGTTAATCACCACCCATCAGGCACCATTAAGCTGTACTGGCTAAATTCATTCTACCATCTTCTGCCACAAGGACAGGTAACATCCACATGGGTCCTTCTGTCCCAGAAGACACCCAAAATAGTTGCTGGTGTTCCCAACTGAGCCATCAGACTGATAACATGCTTCACTTCTGCTCCCGACTTAGTTCTATCTCCACTAAATTCAGCAATAACCTATCAGGAGGAAATAAGAAGCTTTGCTACATCCTTGTGTAGGTACCAATAATTGTTACCAGCTCAGTCACAGTAAGTGCTCCCAGAGACAGAATATCTAATCTTTGCACTATTGTCATCTGCTACTGACCAGAAATGAGCACACACACACACTACAGCTGTAGGAACTGCACCCAGTTTCACAGATCAGTGGTGTGTGTGACAGAAACTATTTCTGCAGCATAAGCTCCAGATGTGGACCCACAACCCCTACACAGATCTGTTGAAAAGATACCAAGCTCTTCAGCCTCATTAATACATCAACATTTCAAACGCAGACGCCAGGGGGATGGTGCCAGACTCTTTCCAGTGGTGCCCAGCAACACTATGAGAAGCAATGTTTCATGTCAGCACGAGATAAAACTTCTTTCCATTGAGGGTGGCAGGGCACTCGAACATGCTGTCCAGGGGGGTTGTGGAGTCTCCCCCTCTGGAAACATTCAAACCACCTGTACACATTTCATGTGTAATCGGCTCTGGGTGGCCTTGCCTTAGCAGGGAGTTGGACTGGATGGTCTCCAGAAGTCCCTTCCAACACTAATGGTTCTGTGATCTGCCCCACCAACCTGGCACTCTCAGGCGTATTAAAGCACGTAACATGTTCCCAAGAAGACAAGAAGCACAAAACCACTTCAATGGCTACATTAGAGAGCACATTTCCCAGGATAAGGGCTATGCCAGACAATGCAGACACCACAGCCCTCCGAGCTCGGTGCTAGGAAGGCTCCATAGAATCCCAGACTGATTCGGGTTGGAAAGGATCTTAAGATCATCCAGTTCCGACCCCCTGCCATGGGCAGGGACACCTCACACTAGGCCATGTCACCCAAGGCTCTGTCCAACCTGGCCTTGAACACTGCCAGGGACA